CCAACAATCGGTTCTCTGAACTACTTAGAAAATTACCAACCGGTTCTCCCGAATAGGTGTGAACTGGCTGAATCCCACCACTGACCCTAATACTAAAAGTTATTTAGAGGATACAAAAGAAGAATAAAGATACAAAAAAAGCAGAAGAAGATATATAATAGTTATTTGATTTACATTTCACCCCAATCAGAAAATACTGTTAGCAAAAATGTAATACAAAATCCTTCGTAAAAGGCTAAAAACAATCAAATCACATCCCACTGTTACTTACACTACCTGATGACATCAATTCAACCCTCCATGGCTTTCCAAAGTAACTTTGTTTTTAACAACTTAAAGAAAATCTGTAGAGGAAGGAGGAATTTGATTTCTGAGGGAGGCTATTTCAAAATGTCAACAAACTCCTCTATCTTTTAAAAATGTGTGGAATCACAAGGCAGTTCTGAGATGTTCAATTTGAATATGTTCAAGTGGGCCAAAATTGGGTAGAAAAGATTGTCCTGTCATCACTTGGACACCAAACCATATAGGTTAAAAAAAATCCCAGCACTTTAATTAATCCCAGCACTTGGAGCTAATAGAAACCAATGTAGGGTTTCATTAAGCACTTATGTATGCATCAGAGATGGGTTCCTACCGGTTCAGCCCGGTTCGGCCGAGTAAGTAATAACTCTGCTGCCCACGCATCCGAACTGGTTCTATTGGTGGCGCCTACAGTGCTGCAATCTTGTTTTTTTGCTTCTGCACAGAAGCAATTTTTAAACTACTGCGCATGTGCATGTAGCGCACATCAAGCGTGCGCATCCAAAGCGCATCCCTAAGCAACCTGGCAGTAAAAGAATCCGGAACTCACCCCTGGTATGTATATAATGAAAAATATATAAACTGTTAAAAAAAAACAATGTAAGATACGGGTGCAGTGTGCTGATGTTAGTGAATGTCCATCAGCAACTGGGCTGATGTATTCTGGACCAACTCTGAGACCATACTTCTAAGCAGGTTTAAAAGGCAACCTCATGTACTGCATGCAATAAAGTAGTCCAAATCAGAGATGATAAGGAAGAGAGTCACTGCCACAACAGTCTGTCACTCCAGGTATGGCTGCAATTGGTATACAAACTGAAGTTAGGCCAGACCTCCTTGGCCAGACTTTCACTTGCCCATCTAGCAATAGCTGTTACTCTAGAAAGAAACTTCCTCCTTCAAGATAGTACCACTCCATGAAGAAGAACACTTGAGACATTGAAGAACTTTAATGGACAAATAGTAGCTCTATCTTGCTTTGGTAGAATTTCTGCTTTTTATATCCCATCCATAACCTTATAGTCTACAGACATTGTGTCTTGATATTGACAGCATCTCCTGTTTACCCCAGAGTAATAATGTACAGATAGGTATCAGTCTATTGTTGTTAACCACACCTATATAATATATAATGGTTTTTATAACATACTGTATGCTAATTACTGTAGTATGCAAGATATAGCTCTGTGATAACACATAAGTAAAAACACTGATTTAGTGTGCTTCTTGAAAGGTCATGATAATGTTCTCTCTTCTAGGTCTACAAGGCAGAGTTCTGAGTTTCCCCAAGGAATCAAAAGGCAGTTTTGTGATCATATCACCAATGCGGCATTTGAATTTGATGGAATTCACACTCTGTATGAGGATTGCAGTAGAATATTTAGGTGAACACAACATAATTCTCTTCTCCTACCATTCTCAAAGTGATGAATTGAGAATCTTGCGTGAAGCAATGGGCCACTTTGGTTTACACATGGGGGGTAGGAGTGTGAGGTTTGCCCTTCCTGATCTCAGCCCTCTGGGGAGCCACATCTGTGTCACTTGGGAGTCAGTATTTGGCCTTACAGCCTTTTGGATGAATGGAAAAAGTAGTATCCGAAAGGTGTATAATATGGGACACATTCTACAAGCAGGTGGCACAGCAATGCTTGGCCAGGATCAAGGGGCACAAAATATGTCTGATCAGAAAAAGCCATATTTTGTAGGAGAAATAACAGATCTCTACATGTGGGATTATGTACTAAAATCACATGACATACAGAAAGTTTTCCAGGCCCATGAGTTTCCCAGCGGAAACATCTTTGATTGGAAAATATTGCCATATAAAATTAGAGGTAATGTGATGGTATTGCCTAAGGGCTAATAATTCTGTGTGTACATATAAATAAGTATGGAAATACAATCCTATTTCATTGGGCAGCAAGTAAATAAGCAATAGTGGTATGATATCTAAGATGTTGAAACATAACTAGTGAACATTTTCTTCTTAGTTTGTAACTATTCATGTTAAAATTCCTTGAATTAACCCATGAAAATATAAAAAATAAAATTGTCTTATGAATAACAAGTTTGATAAAGTGTATTTTTCTTTCTCATTTGATATGGCCAACTAAAATATCAAAAGACATGTCTGATGTTTGGAGGCTGGCACAGTTTAAGGAAAAATGCAAATGGCTATAAATGTGGTCCAGTTGCTAGGGGCCTGACGTGCAATCACAGGACTGGGGGGAGAGGGGGGGGATCGGTCATTAGAATCTTTTTTTGTGGGGAGGGGTCTGTCATAACTTCAAACAATTGCTAAGTGACTGATCATAAGTCAAGGACTATCTGTACTTGATGATCATCCAATCTGCAGATTTTCCTTCTGTCTCCCAAGGTCATTCCCAAATACCATTATACCCCTTCTTGGTTTTCAAAACACTGAAAAGTTGGGTATCATTCACAAACTTAGTCAGCTCACTGCCTATCCTTAAGCTAGGTCCATTCTGAACATTAACAAGCAGTAGCCCCAACACAGATCTATTTCTTACTTTCCTCCACTAAAAGTTGCTCATTCATTCTTGCAGTTTCCTTTTCCGTGTTTTAGCTAGAGACAGTTTGGTGTAATGCTTAAGGCATCAGGTAAGAAACTGGGGGACCCTGAAATCTAGCCCCAGCTTGAACACAAAGCCAACTGGGTGATCTTTGGACCACGTTCTCTCAGCCCTAGAAAAATCTCGCCAAGAAAATTGCAGAGACACGTCCAGGCAGTCTCCAAGAATGTTTTAGATAGTTAACAATAAGTGCATGAATCCTCTTCTCTCATGACCACTAAGTCTGCCCCTTTGATGAGGAAAGTTGTCTAAGGCTTTTCTAAAATTTTGAAGAGTGGATACAATAGGTGCGTATATGCATTTTTGAAAGCTGGATAACTCTGGATCTGGTGTATCCCAGGCAATCAAAAGCAGCATTCCCGTGACACGTTTTTCTCCTTTACAAAAGAAACAGAAATCAAGTAATCTTGAAGATTGGATGAGATCATCCTCTATTTTCTGAAAAGATTCTGCCAGCTCAGTCACCTGCCTGGAAGGCACAGAATCCCATAAACTGAAAGAATGATGTCACCAGTCATTTCAAGAAGAGGAAGGGTAGAGTCCTCCCCTTGGGAAATGACCACATTTGATTAGAGTCAGGAACAGTAGTGTGTATGTTTGTGAGTGTGTGTAGATGTATTTTAGAAAAAGTGAACACACAGTTTAAAGATGGTTTCCTGAATCTAACAGGAGTGGCACTTGTCTCCATGGCCAGTGTTCAGTGTCATATCCTTCTGAAGTCTCCAGGGGAAGGATGGTGTGTAGGGGTGCCAGGAAATGACATATTTCTGGTCTGATGCAAAGCAATCCCACTGGAGCAAAGGGGGGAGGTTGTGGAAAGTATAAATAAAGCTGTTCCCAAAACAGATTGAGAATTATTCATGAGAACACCAGTCTGAGAGAAAATGATGGTAGGTGGAATTAATACTTTTTCAATCTTTGACAACTTTTTGAACATTTTATTGAAGATACTTTTATCCTTGCTTTTCTATGAAATAATTTACTTTACCTAAAAAGAATACTAACTAACCCACTTACCATAAGTCAGTGATTCTTCTTTTGTGCTTTCTAGTCAGTGTTGACTCCTGGTGACTGCCTGAACTAATTCTTGCGGTTTTCTTGGCTAGATTTTTGGAAGTGGTTTGCCATTTCTTTCTTCCTAGGGTTGAGAAAAGTGAATGACCCAAGATCACCCTGCTAGCTTTATGCCTAAGACAGGACTAGAATTCACAATTCTCCAGTTTTTAGCCTTGTGCCTTAACCACTATTAAATTGGCTCTCATTATTATTCTACTTCATTTTAAATTGTCATTCAAAGGTATCCAGCAAATATTCTACAATGTAATAATGTCTTGGGCTGCAGTTTATGCTCTTGGACTTGGAAGGGAAAGGAAAGGTTTTTTTTATATCTAAAAAATTGTTATGTTTTACTGCTGAAATATAGAAAACTACAACCCTAGTTTTAAAAAGATAGTGATTATATAGTGAATGTGATAAAAACAAAAAATATATATAACAGATTATGGTAAAAATTAATTCAGGCTTATCATTAAATCTTACTGACATGGAGACTTACTACATCACCTTCTGTTTTAAACAGAAACTTTTCAAAATGAAACTTGTATCCTGAAATCATTTCTTAAAATCGGGAGTGTAGACATCTTTCCAATCACCTAAATGTATAATTTTGTTGTGTCCCAAGCTTGAAAAAGCCAAAGCTTTTTATGAAATGACCAATTCCATATTTTTGGAATGTAATTCAACATCACATTAAGACCCTTATATATCACATATCTTTCTTTGAACTTGTGCTGGACCCCCATAATATCACTTTCGTTTAGTTCTTAGCCTAGGAATGAGACAGTTTTAAGTCCTAGCTACATTAGTGTTAAAATATATTCCCCTCTCCTTTATTCCAATATTGTCCAAGGGCAACTTCAAAGTCATCATAAAAGTTTAATCTTCTTCATTATCTTTGAGATGTGAGGTGAATGGCAGAGACTGAAAGACAGGTAAATAAAGATAGCAGAGAGATTGATACTGGGGCTAGCAAATTTGATTCCTGTATAGTTTTCTGGGTGAAGTATGGGAAAAAGTCATATAGTATGTACATGAGAAAGCTGAAGTCCAAAATAGATCATGTTTATTTTCACTTAGGGATAGATGCCTCTCTTACTGGTGATTTGCAAGGGAGTGCAGTAATTCAATAGCTCTCAAAAGATGCTACAAAAGATAGTCCATGAAAAGTTTCACAGGAAAGCTTACCAAGATTTTAGGGATTAGTTTTAGAGGGCGATATCAGAAGGAGCAAAAGGTCTTGGAGCAATGAAGAGTTAAGGGGCAAGGGCTTAAATCTCACATTAAAATAGGATATGGTTTTATAGAATGAGTAAAAAGCAAATTGCCAAATTGCTTCCCTGTAGATATATTAGGATGGCAACTCTCAGAATTCCTGGGCAGGGCAAACTTTGCTTAGGATTTCAGATGCACCTGCATGTCTCTTGGTCAAGGTATGAGGTTGCCTTTCTTAGTGACCTTCTTTTATTTTCCCTTCTTTTCCATGAAGATTATGGAGTATGATGTCTTCTCCTTCAGTTTCGATCCTACATATCGCTTCTACAACACACTGCTTGACCAGCAAAGCCAGCTATGCAACCACATCAAGAAACTCCAAAAGATATTACAGAGACTCAGCAAACTGAACAGATGTTCTGTCATTGCACATCTAACGGGAAATTCTTTAAGTGCAGCAGGAGCAATTATGGCCATAGTGGGGCTGTCTTTGAGCCCTGCAACTCTAGGAGCCTCTCTCTTGGCTTCTGGGGTGGGTTTAGGAGTGGCGGCTGCAGGAGGGGCCGTTTCCATTACTTCAGACCTTTCTTTAGTGTTCTGTAACTCCAAGGAGGTGAAAAGAGCAAAAAAGATTGCACTGGCCTGTCACAATCAGATGAAGGAAACAATGAATTGCTTGGAGTTCCTGCACCGCAGTTGGAATCCCACCGACCCTTTCTTATTGCAGACTGAAAAAAATGCTTGTATTGCCCTTTATAATTCCACCTGCTTCCTGGTGTTCTGTGGTCCTCAGGGCTTTCTGTTGCCTGAGCACACAGAAGAGGTGACAAAAGTGAGCCATATCCTACTTAAGGCAAAAATCCAGAAACTGGCCGAAAACCTAGAAGTCTGTGCAAGACACATGGATGAAATCTGCAAGCTTTTAGAAAGCAGGAAAGCATGTTCCTGGAGGACAAAAGGATTAGTATGATGACATGGGATGAATGGTCAGAATGACTCTGCAATAACACCAAGTCTTCTTGAAAAAATGTAACCTGGGCATAAAAATGCTGAATACCGGTACTGTAATTTAAAATTAGGATTTTATGTACCCAGGGATTTTCTCTATGCATTTCCTAGGATTTGCAATTATCTACAACCTTTTATTTTTATTTTGCTTTTGTTTTGCTGATCAATGTAACATGCAGAAATCATAGTTGTATCAGTTTGTAGCCTATACTTTCAGCACATTTCAAGGGAAGTTGTTTGTCACGAAGCACCATACTTGGGGTTTCTGGGCAGGAAAAGTTTTCCAAATGTCTGATTGTAAGATAGCACAGTAAGCTGAACTTTCCTTAACACATGAAATTTCAATTAATGTTTCACAATAGGAGGAAAATATAGGCGGGAATAATTTTCAAAGCTCTGACAGTAATTGTATTTGAATGCTCAAGGGGTCATGACGGAATATGCCAGCATAGACAAAAATATTTAGCAAGTTCAAAACCTGTTGAAGTGTTAGAATCAGACAGATAAGCAAAGCCTAAATATTTCTGAACTTTTCCTTATGATGTTCTCATAGCAGATGGAAATTTGCCCTATAAGTAGGGTTAGAACTGAATCATTTCTTTACTTTCGTTTCTAGAATTTACGATCTTTGTCTCATTTGTCTTTCATGTACTCTTTTCACACATATGCCAGAATATATGTAATTTTATATTTATTTATATGGGCCAGTATTATTGAACTCTTTGTTTAAAAGAATAAGAACACTGTTAACACAAGATAAGATATTCTTCACTGTGTCTGAGCAACATCTTTAAGTTGCTTGAAGTCATTTTCTTTGCCAATATTTTCATTCAAGACGTGATAAAGAAGCCAAATAAAAACTAGGTTGCAAACCAAGATTCTCCCCCCCCCCGCAAACATTCTATTAGAATTTCATTTGAAGAATTATTTTTAAGAAATCACCTCCTATGCATTTCAGAAACATTTTACTAGAATGTGTAAAAATGTTTTAAGAAAAGCCTTTGCAGATTGAATCTTTTGATAAAAACTGTTCTGTGTTCACTAACTTCACTGTAAAAAATAGATGTTCCTCTTCACTTGATTAATCATCAGTTTTATATCTTCAAAATATTGTTGAATAGAAGGCTAGGAAGAAAAAAAAAACCTAAACCAAAGATGGTGGGAAGCTTTCCTCAAAGTCTTTTTCACAATGGAAAAGAGAGTTAGCCAAGCATTTTTCTTTCTTTTTCTTTTTCCCATTTCTTTCACAAAGGATAAGGCATGCTGGGATCAAAAGATAACAGAAGAGTTGAGTTGTTGCTTTGTAACTGGATACTGTAAACTTCCACTATCTTATTATGTTTGAAATTCATTTTACAAGAAACTGCAAGATTCAGCAGTCTTGATGGAAAAACTAAGAATTAATTGGGAATGATTTTTGCACATTACAGAACTTTTTCACACATCTATACATATACATGCAAATAATTTTGTATTAATAGAGTTCCCAAATCTGGACACCAGATAGGGTCATCTGAAGATCTTCAGCCCAAATCTGGTAGTAGTACAACCCGTAGCCCCCCCTATCCCTGCAAGTGGATGTCAGTTCTGTAAACTTTTTAATGTTGGAAATTATTGTCTGGGATGTGATAAATTTGGAACCAGACTCCCTAAAAGAGAAAAGATGAGAAAAAAGGCAAAAATAACCATACATGCCTATCAGAAGAATGAGAAAATGTTTCAAGGTATACATGTAAGCTTAATTCTCAACCAGATGTTGTGTTTTGAGCTATTCCATTTTACAGAGCAGGTCTAGGTTTTATGCAATTGAATGATTTCTCCTGTCTCTACAAATAAGAACAAGAGCTCACAACATGACAAAGCTATCCTGAAATGCCTGCTTTCTTTAGGCAGTGATTTTATTTTCATATTGGGGAGCATTCAGTCATATGTGTCCAATGACACAGCTTGGGCTTATCAGTAGTGAGAACGAAACCATCAGGCTGTCAAATCCAAAGATGATGTAATGTTTCCCATTTCTTTTTGTATGAGTAAGGAGTATCTTGGGAGATCCCAAGCTCCTTAAGTGATGGCAATGAAGGAATTTAAATGCATGAGAGTCAAAAGATGTGAGTGTAAGGTATATTTTGTGGAGACATTATAGCAAATCTGGCATATTCTTTGTCGGTCTGTCCCTGTGGGAAAGGAAAATGTGCCCATTATTATCTCTGGGTTATTTCAGTCATTTATAAAACCAGGAAACATATTCTACAGAATCCTAATGCAGTGTAAAAATCAGAACAAGTATGAAATTATTTTGTTATCTGTTATTTATATTATTTCTTCCCAATTCTTGAAAAATCTATTTCAGAAAAAAGCAACTTCCATAAACATCTCAATGGATTCAGGATATTTGTAAAAATAAATATGATAGCTGGTATTATTTCTTCATCTTCAAATATACAAGTTCAGCAGAAATTATCAGTGGGGTAAAGTTCCATGATCACAATAATATGATCCTAGTTCTTTTAATCTAAGCTCTCTTCTGCTCTTCTATACAACTTCTGAGAACACTTATGATAAACTTAAAACCAAGCGTGACCTTTTGTCCAAATGCTTCATATTATGATTTATTCAAATAATTAACCAAGTGAGATCCCAAACAATGGTCTATCTGCAATTTATGCAAGTAATACTTTGCCACATACTAAACAGGTGCTTCTGATACTGATATAGTACTGTAGCTGAAATTCAGATCAAGAACACTGTGATCCGTGAGCTCCTGGGGCTAATGGATGTGAGTTGCAAAATTCAGTATGACTACTATATAAAAGCAGAGAGCTAATGCTTTCTGCACTTCTTTACTGCTGTCTAGATTCTTGAAGTCCGGATCTCGTAGCCCTAGGATTTCCAGATGACTACTAACTAAGCAGCCTGTTTTGCATTTGTTAAACAAAATTCTTCACTGGTCACCTCATTTAATTTTCAGCAGCCACATGTCATGTTAGTGGAGTACTCTTTGAGGGAGGGAGATGGTTGTGATGGAATGCAGCCAATAGTGGCACTAGTTTCACTATAAACTTTCACCATTAATGAATGCTGAGAATGACTAGAATAGAATGGATGTATTTATTTCCCTTCTGCGCTTTGTATTTTCAAACCCCTAAAGAAGTAAGAATGCTACTGAACAAGCAAACATGAACCAAAAGCCTGAGAAGGGGCACATGTATCACTGATCTAGAAACCTAACAAAGATACAATATATTTCTGATGCCACACTGCATATAGGACATTTAAACACTAGTATCGCATGTTCCTATGGATTGTTGACATATATAAGAGATTCCAAAGTTATACAAAGGGCAGATCATATGACAAGCAGTTTACACTGCCATGTAGAAATGCCTAAAACAGGTCTAATGCAAATATCTTGGAGACCTAATCGAGCATAAGGAAGAAAAACTCAAAGGAAAGGTAGACGTGTATTTTTGAAGTATTGTATGTGAAAAAAAGAAACTGACCAAGAATGAACAAAGAAATCAGAAAGATTGTGTAAGTAGAAAGATTCATTAAGAAAAATGGAAAATAAAGGGGAAAAAACCCTACAGATAAGGCTGCCAGGTGACTATAAGGGTCTCCTTTTTGAATAATGATAATACACGAATGGTTAGTGGATGTTTAGTCACTGTATATGTTACCACTTCAATTTTTGATTTTTTGTTTGCAAATATTGTTATTTGGCAAGTGTTGCAGAAACGTGGCAAAAATAAATCTTTCATATTTATAACTGATAAATTGGTGACAATATTATTTGTAAAAATACAGCGACTGTGAAGCTTCGACTTTAAGTTACACACAATAAGTTTGTTTGGATTTCTTAACACATTTCCTGCTCTTATACAAGAAGAGGATATGGCACTGTGAGATACCAGCAATTGATGATGCAGGTACGTCATAGTTCTTCAGTGGTCACGCACTTAACTAGGATGGGTTCTCCCCTCCCCCCACCATTAACTGGGAAAGTATTCATGCTATGGATACACTTCCTGATATGTTTTAGCCTACGTGAACTCCCTGCACAGCCTATTTCCTGGTCACATGAGAGATATGAATTTGGGAGTAGAAAGAACTGTTGTATATATAATACATGAAAGTATGACTTCTAAATGAATAAAACCCAGTGTATAAGTAATGCTGCTAATCTCTGTTTGTAGGATAGGCACTTAAAAAGTGCTACACAGTCTCTACTTAGATAATAAAGAACAAAAATAAGATTCTAAAATCATAGATGTGTTTTTTTCAGAGCATTTAGAGTAAAGGAGGCATATAAACAAGGCAGTGAAAACGAGAAACATTTGTAAAAATCACATTCGGATCTATGACAACTTGTGATCACTAGGTCTATCAGTTTTATAAATCCTTGGCAAATTACACACGCATTGTAAGTATACACAATAAACACACATATTAGAATAAAAGTGCTTTGATCTGAGAGCTGCGTTCATAGCCTTTTACTAAAGCTTGCAGGTGCTAGATGTCCTTGGGTCAATCACTCTCTCTAAGCCCAACTCACCTCATAGGATTGCTGTTGTGGGCAAAAAAGGAGGACATAATAGTATTAGGTATGTTCACTACTTTGAGTTACTTATAAATATTTATAAAGGCAAGAAACAAACTAATAAAATGGGAGTTATTTTGGTGTAGTGGCAAAGATAGTGGACTAGAAACCAGGAAACTATGAATTTTAATTCTCTGACAAGCATAAAAGCTGACTGGATCATATATTTGTAACATTTCTACTTTATACGCCAGTCAAGGAACTACCAATTCAGACAAACAATAAAGAACAGATTAATCAAGGAAACATTAAGAACGCTCCCACCAGTACTGACAAGGTGAGCCATTTGTAATAGAGAGCAAACCCTACTCACTTCTAGTACAGATGTTACCTAGTTAGGTAATGAAAACAATCAAGCTGAGAGCACCAATGGGCCTACATTTCTGCCTTATGCACAGCAGCCAGAACTATCCTTCTCTTTTGACTTGGGATAAAAAGTTTACTGCTCCTAAGTATTGGGATAAGTCCCAATAAATCCACATTGATCATTCAGAATAACTATATTTAGAATTTACTCCCTTAGCAGTTTTTATCTTAAACTAGCAGAACATATATCTGGGCTTAGAAAAATTTTCTGAAATCTCAAACAGTTGTTCATTTTGGGGAAATAAATACAATACCATTTTATAATTTTCTACATCTGTGCTGGAAACTCCAAGACAATTTAAACACTGCAGAAGCTTCCTTTACATGTATATAATTTCTAAAAGTCATCAAAGTTTTCAACTCAGAAGTTAGCTAACAGTTTTGTTTCACTTCAGTTAACCGGACCCAATAAAGGGCTTTATTTAAAAGTTTGCTTTTCTGGATGTAGCTTTAGGACACATTTACTTTTTCTTTTTTTACTTACTTAGACTCCATACCTTCCCCAAGATCTCTTGGCAGCGGTCTTTGGGATCAGTGGTGGTCTGTATTGTAACACTCAAGAGCCTCCCCTAGGAGCTTTGGGCAAGGGGAAAGATATTATAAGAATTAGGCGCCTCTTTTTCTCTATCGAGAACCCCGACTCGCCTCCAGCGCAGCAGTAAAACTTTCGATGGACAGGAGACTTAAACAACGTTCTTCCCAAAGATGGGCGGCTCTCCTATTTTATGGCAAGCCTAGAATTCTTACGTTCAGCAAAACTTGAATTTCCCCATAGATTTATATAGGATTTTATTGCTGCGCTGGAGGCGAGTCGGGAAGAGACGCATGAACGTTAGAGACGAATCCAATAAACCTTTCAACGATTACGTTGAAACGGCTCAACGTTTTATCTGTAAAAAGAATACACTCGTCTTTCCGGAACTGGGAGGCATTGAGATGCTGACGCTAATGTCTTCCTCTCGCTCGCTCTCTATATCGGAGTGGGAGGGGCAAATGTGAGCATTTGGACTCCCAGTCCCAAGATGCTTCGCGCTACATTTGAGGTTAAAGGTGAAGAAGAACATGGCGACGAGCGTGGAGCACGGGGAAGAGGTGGGAGAGATCGCGGAAACGTTCAAACACCTGGTGAGTGGGGTTTCTCTTATTAACTTTACTATTTACCGTCTCTTCATCTCTCTCTCTCTTCTAGTGCCTGATATTTCTTCTGTTTGCTTCTCCTTCATTTTAACTCTCTGTGAATGACACTTGCTATCTAGTTTTCTAGTAGTCTGTTTTGCTGTTTCTTTTTCTCTTTTTTTCCCCCTTAGCCTTCAAAGAAACAAACTCTATTATGGCAACGCGCGCGCGCGCACACACACACACACACACACACACACACACACACACACACACACACACACTCCATAAAAGCAGGGGTCTACCACACTAGGTGGGATCCAAGGTGCATACTATGCAGAGAAGCCTCAGAGATACCAATACACAGTGGCAGGGTGTGAGATGCAAGCAGGAGTAGCATATACTGAAAGGCACCACCAAGCAGCTGGCGTTGTGTACAGGAACATCTGCACAATATATGGGCTACAATAGAATTCTTTATTAGCCAAGTGTGATTGGA